AAGAAGGTCTCAAAGGCGGCATCCCCTTGGAGTTCGGCGGCGAGAACCCCTGGACCGTTGGCTACGTGTTTCACAACAACCCTGATAAAGTCTTCAAGGAGTTCTTTGGTGGAGACAACCCCTTTGCGGGTAGGTGGGGGGGGCTGTGGGGGGGTGGCTGCTGCGGCGCCGTGGCCGCCCCCAGCTCGGAGCTTTAAGCTTTACCAGGATATTTCCCTGCCCAGTTCCTCTCAGGTCCCTCTGGGGCTGCTGGTTCCCAGCACTTGGAAAACTTTTGACTTCCCCTAGGCCCGGGTGGGCGAGAGGCCTGGGGGTGTATTTTCAAGCTGTCAGCTCTCCCCAGGGACTGTTGTGACCCTTTTCTTGGAGAATTTCCATTAAAAAGAGGGACCGGGTTGGCGAGGCTGTCGTAAACACTGCCAGACAAAAAGAGGGAAGGTGATCCCAGGCAGGAGCAGATGGCAGGTTTTTGGGTGGCGTATTTGGGGTGCTCAGCTTTTACAATAAGGAGACCCCCAGGGGACCCCCCAATCTCTGATTCGAGTGAGGTGACCCCCCCCTCTGCTCGCTCACGCAGAGTTCTTCGCCGAGGACGGCTCAGAGTTGATCCTGCCCTTCGGAGGGCTGCGGGGACGAGGAGCGAAGAAGCAGGACCCCCCAGTTGTGCGGGATCTCTACCTCTCCCTGGAAGACCTGTTCTATGGCTGCACCAAGAAGATTAAGATCTCCCGCAGGGTAGGGGCGGTGGGGATGAAGAGGGGGCGCTCAGCAGGGTGGGGAACTTTGGGTGGGCTCTCCTCTCAGGGTGGGATGTTTTGACTGTGGAGCTTGAGGCTTTGGGGCTGGTCCCACTGAGGGGAATCAGCAGGCCACAGCCCTGTGTCTGTGCTGCGGGGTGGGATCCGAACCAAACCCAGCAAACCCCTCTCTTTGGGCACCTCAGTGTCACACATCACCTCTCTGTGTTGTCCTTTGGGGTCGGGAACAGCCCTGAGGAGAAGGACTTGGAGGGCTGGGGGCGAGGAGCTGGCCAGGAGCCGGCCGTGTGCGCTGGCAGCCCAGAAAGCCAACCCCATCCTGGGCTGGATCCAGAGCAGCGTGGCCAGGGGGGCGAGGGAGGGGATTCTGCCCCTCTGCTCCGCTCTGGGGAGACCCCCCTGCAGTTCTGCTCCAGCTCTGGGCCCCCAACAGCAGAAGGACACGGAGCTGTTGGAGCGAGTCCAGAGGAGGCCCCGGAGATGCTCCGAGGGCTGGAGCCCCTCTGCCCTGGGGACAGGCTGGGAGAGTTGGGGGGTTCAGCCTGGAGAGGGGAAGCTCCGGGGAGACCTCAGAGCCCCTTCCAGTGCCTGGGGGGCTACAAGGAAGCTGGGGGGGGACTTTTCCAAGGACAGGGAGTGACAGGATGAAGATGTCACTGCCCGTGTCAGGGGTTTGGACCCAATGACCTTGGAAGGTCCCTTCTAGCCAAAACCAAGGGCTGTCATCCAGCCCCGGGGGCTCAGCATCACCGCGGTTGGAACTCGTGCCGGGCGCTGGCTGCTCTCACTCGATCGCAGACCCGTGTCTCCGGACAGGACCCAGCTCCTCTGACCCCCTTGTCCACCCCCCAGGTGATGAACGAAGACGGTCAAACAAGCTCCATCAGGGATAAGATCCTCACGATCGATGTGCAGCCGGGGTGGAAGCAGGGCACCAGGATCACCTTCGAGAAGGAAGGAGACCAGGTAATAACGGTGAGGGGAAGTTCTGGGCCAGGTTTCCTTGCGACCAGCCGCGCGCTCTTTCCAGGTTTCCCGTTTTCGCAGGCTGATGGGGCGAGTCAGCATTCCCGTGCTCACAAACACACGAAGGAGCCCTTTCTGCCTGGATTTTCCTTAGGATAGATAAAAGACGGTTGAAAGGGGTGTTTTTCTACCTGGCATCACCTTTGCAAAAACCAGTTGTTTTCCTTTTCTCCCTCTCTTTTAGGGCCCAAACATCATTCCAGCTGACATCACCTTCGTTGTCCAAGAGAAACTCCACCCAAGGTTTAAAAGAACCGGCAACGACCTCGCTTATGTCGCCACCATCCCCTTGGGAAAGGTAAAAGAGCCGAGCGCGGGGACAGAGCCAGCCCCGGCCCATGTCTGCCCCTTGGGGCTGCCACCGCAGCTGCGTGTCCCTCCCTGTGCCCCGCAGGCGCTGGTGGGCTGCACGGTGGCGGTGAGGACGCTGGACGGGAGGCTGCTCAACATCCCCATCAACGACATTGTTGAGTAAGTGCCGCGGGGGCCGACGGTCGGTGGGTTCCGGTGGTCGGTCGGGGCTTTTCTCCAGAGCTTGGTGGCCACGGAGGTGAATCATAGAC